CATTGGTTAACAACCCACCGACATGTCAACACTCTCCCAGATACTTGGTTCTTTTTATCATATAATCATAGTTTAGTTATTACCTGATACAAGAAATATTAAGCTTCCAGATTGGATTGTTTGCTTTCAAGAAAGTCTGTATGCTTTTCCTCAACTTCAGCTAATTTTGGTTGTAATTTCTTTAATCTGTGCATTTTTTTTCCTGTGAGGTAGTAACGGGACACCCAGTCTAGTAATGATTGACGGGCGAAGGAGCATCTTTAGCAACGGAAGCTTCATTATCCGCACGGTGAAAGCAGAAGATTCTGGCTATTACAGCTGCATCGCTAACAACAATTGGGGATCCGATGAAATTATTTTAAATTTACAAGTACAAGGTACGAAAATTTGAGACTCTTTTTAATGTTATCTTTTGCATGTTCGTAAGCATACTTTTATGCAAAAACTCAGATTAAACAAATGTAAAAATCAAAATAAAGAACTAATTGCTATTTTCGTATTACAATAAAATACGTGTTCATTTTAGAAAATATAATTAGGCAAATCAAAGAAGGTAAAACAGCTTTCATAATCCCAGAGCTAGCACTGAGTCTAATCTCTTTTTTATTTATATGTGCATCTCTGAAAAAGTTCTTCATTAAGAAGGTATTAAAATTTCCGTGAACTGTGCTGTGTAAGCGTGTGTAACCCAGAAGGCATAAACAAAAATTTTAAAATGATAAATCTGAATCATACTGTACATCGGCTAATTAAGTCAATTTTTATATGCAATATAAGTAAAAAGGGAACTTACTGAAACTCTAAGTATATTGCTAAAATATCTAGCAGTGTATTGAATACAGGGCGTTTCATTTTTTCTTGATATTGTTTACAAAAAATACACAGCGATTTCAAAAGTTCTTTGTATTAAAATTGTGTACAAAATTCCCAAACAACTACTGAGCTGGTTTTGATATTTTATTAGTAGAAAAATCAAAGTATAGGCTGCTTTGAATTATGTGTTGTCAGGTTAAAAAACTACAGCCAGTAAAAATAAAATCAATATTGTCCTCAGCAGTGGTAAGCAGGGTAGTGGTGGGGAGTGAGAGGAGAGGAGGAAGATGACATTTAAAAAAAAATACGGCAAAACTGATCTGGAATTTCAAGTAAATTAAAGTCTGGAGAATTTCAGGGTGTTTTAGGAAATAGATACTCTATTATGACTCAAAAGGGATGGGTCAGTTGATCAGGCCTTTGGGTCAATACATCAGGCTGCTTCTCTCAGAGGAAGACAGAAGGATATTGTATGTGAAGTTTTCTATGCAAGTTGGATAATCTGATTCTGAGTTTCACCATTTTCTTTGGTGCTCTGTCCTCAGAGCCAATTCAAAAGAATATTGATACTTATTGGTTAGAAGAAGTCTGTATTCTTCAAGCCTTGCATGAGCTTTCAAGTTCAAGTGCTGCAGCTCAGTGGCACACTTTTGATCTTCAGGGCTGAGGGGATGCACGTGTGTGTGTGCGTGTGTGTGTGTGTGTGTGTGTGTGTGTAGAAAGAGAGAGAGACTATGGTCGATACAAACAGTTAAGCACTTGAAAAATTGACAGTTTAAGTCCACTCAGAGGTGCCTTGGAAGAAAGGCCTGGCGATGTACTTCTGAAAAACCAGCAATTGAAAACTCTATAGAGCACGGTTCTACCCTGGCACACATGGTGTTGCCATGAGTCTGGGTTGACTCAACGGCAACTGGTTCGCTATATTAAAAAAAACCACCTCAAATCCATTGGCGTCAGGTCGATTCTGACTCATGGTGACCCTATGTGTTACAGAGTAGAACTGCTCCATAGGGTTTTCTTTATGCAAACAGATCATCAGGCCTTTTTTCAATGGCACTGCTGAGTGGGTTCAAACCATGAACCTTTAGGTTAGTAGTGGAGCACAAACTGTTTGAGTCACCCAGGGACACCTGCTGTCTGCTTCTCTCCCTTTCTCTTTCCATTCCCAAGAAGAACAGAACAGCTAAGTAGATGCCA